CCTATGTATGAAGCAGAAACAAAAAAAAAGACATAGTATTTTTCTTCCTAGTATAATATCATGCTTCATGTTCTTACACTGATGTCTTTAGTTAACACCAGAAGCTCTTCTGGTGTTTGCCATGTAAGAAGGTAGCCCATAAAATGATACAAGTTTCTGTAGTCACCGCTAAAGACTTAAACACTTCATTCCTCTGCCACTTGAAGTAAATCTAGCCCGAGATTTTTGTTCCACAATGATTCTCATGGGCTCCAAACTCAGTGCTTACTATACTAACAATAATCCTTCATGTCTCCAGACTCTACCCATGTTCGTTGTTAATCTTCAGTCACAAAGTAATAAGATGCATCACACAACATCAAGCTGGCCTAAGGGGTTACAAATTTGGATGAGGGCCACATACTGTACAAATTGCTTCTAAAAATGACATATTTCAGGAGGGACATCATGATTTTAATCATTTATTCTGCATGTTGTTTCCTTTGGAGAGAAGAACAAGCAGGCACTAAACAAGCCGAGCATCTGAAATTCATGGCAGAAGCTAGAAAGAACTCATTTAGTATCAACCATCATTGTAAATACTAGAATTATGCATGTATCAAATCCCTGGGTCTGAACACTTTGGGAACAGCCAGTGAGTTCTGGCTGCTTTAATGACTCAAACCAAAACGATGTCTTTGAATGTTCCTTAGATTTATAACAAATCAGATTTAATCCCATTTCAAATCTTGTAACTGGGGCCTAACTCAAGAAAAAGTCTTTGTTTCTATGCAAAGAAAAATACATTGAGGGGAATTTAAAACATGTATTTCCCAAAAGGCTGAGAGGGAAAACAGTCAAACATACATTTCACTTCTGTGGGGAAAGATTTTAATTATGATTTGATAGCTGTTCATCACAAAGGTGGCCCAGTGAACACAGACAGTGAAAAGAACTTTCTTTAAAGCCTCTTGAAATTAGTAGGACCTCGATCTGATCTAAACAGCCTCTTGCAGGGTGAACTAAGATGAGTGAAGGTTTCCTATTTCCCTGACCTCTAGCACATCCACACCAGTAGACTTGCTGTTAATGAAATCCTCAAACCTCTTGGGAACGTGCACTTCCTTCACAGGGGGAGACCTTGATAGTACTTAAATAGCCACCAGTATTAATAGCAATAGCTGGTAGATAATGTGGAGACTTGGGAACTCTAGGGAGTAATGCAGGTTTGGGAACAGCTCAAGCTGTCTTCCATTTGTCTTTGTAAACCTTTCTTCCTGTCACCGCTGTCTGCATTTCCTTCCAAGGATGAGCTGAGATACCAAACAAAACATGACTACCTAGGTCAAAGGAAACCTGCCTAGGCACAATGTATGTCTTGGGGTGGAAAGCTGCAGTTGCAGCTCTGAGACTCAAATGTGCTCTTAACTTTCAAGTGGTAATGAGACATCAAGGAAGCACCATTACCTAGGATAAGTGTAATCTGTTTCTGCCTTGGCAGTCTAAGCTGCCTTCATTTGGTTCCTCTCTACCTGTGAGGTTTATCATCCCACCATAGACTTCTCTGGCAATTGTGAGGGGAAAAGAGTGAGGTTCCAGCAAGACTTCCAGGGGCTACTCTAACCCACCGAGCAGAATAGTGAAGATATCTCTAAAGATGCTGTTTGTGCATGGATGGATATTTGTGCTAAAACAGTTGGGCATCTACTTTGGTACAGAAGAAAAGGACCAAAGGGTTCTTGATTTTGTCATACAGAACAAGAAGCAGATTAGTAAAGAGGAGAAAAAGGCCTTACACAATGAGAATTGACTGGGAAAGATTGCCCCAGGTAAAACTGGTGACTATTCAAATTGAGAAACATTTCTCTGATTGCTTTTATGGCATTTTTCATAGGGAGGTTCAAGCCAACCTCTGCACATGAAGACTGAGAGCTTAAAGCGTGAGAGAACTGAAAGTTCAGGCATAAAAGCCTGAGTAACAGAAGTAAAAAGTGACATAAACAAGGGAGATAGAATTGATGAATCCTCAGTTAAGAGTGCTGCTATACCTAGAAAAAACTGTCATGGTGTAAATCACAACATACAGAAAATATGATGGATTAGTTTGGTGCAGTCTTCAGATACTGACCTGTGCCAACATTGTGTGCTACACAAAACCATGGAATTAACAAACACTAGTGTGGCAGGTTAGAAGAAGGAATATCTATGAAAGCAAAATGGAAAACCTCTTTGACATCCATTAGGTTTGGTAATATAATACTAAGAAGCACACCATCCTGAGCTGTTATCTGGTTGGCTGGCTCAGTCCCTGTCCAGATTACCACTTAAATCAATAGCTCTCACATTGATTTTTCCAGCACACTGTATTCCAGTAAAAAGAACAATGCTCTGAGATGAGTCAGCTATTTATTCTTTCTGTAGGAACTCTGGTTCATTTTCATTTAGGAAAATAAAAGCAGGAGCCAAAGTACACACAGATATCTAGTAATAAGAACCTGCCTGTTGCACCATAACATGACACAGGCTCTGCAGACATGCAGGTTTGCTACAACTTGCTGCAGCAGCCACAGCCCGGCCTTGAGCTAGAGCAAGCTGCTGTAACAATGGGACTGAAATATTTGGGGATTATCCTAAACAGACCATAACACTGAATTTAAGTTTAGTAACTGCTATGGCAGAGGAGAAAAATATGCCCATATATATATATATCATATACGTATCTATACATATCTACATATCGTAGAATCACAGCATCATAGAATGGTTTGGGTTGTAAGGGACACTAAAGATCATCTTATTCCAACCCCCCTGCCATGGACAGGGATGCCACCCTCCAGATCAGGTTGCTTAAAGCCCCAGCTAACCTGGCCTTTGATAATTCCAGGGATAGGGCATTCACAACTTCTCTGGGCAATATGAACCCCTTCTCTGGGCAATTTAACTAAGAAGCTGATCTCCACATTTTTACCATGACAGGTAGAACCTCAGCAGTACTGTATTTCTATTTATTGCATATATTTTCATGTATTTGCATGTTCAACGCAACATGTACTATAGTTCTGGTATTGTAACTAGTCATCACTATTGTCTGATGTTGTTTCTGCTCTTTTCAACCATGTTTACAATTTCCCATTTTATATAGGTTACTATAACCACAACATGCAGGTTCATTTACTTTCTCTCTTCAGCTTAGCTGTCAGTTCAGAAACCAGCAACCTTTCTCTCACCCAGTTTTGTAACCGTTTAAAGAAACTTACAAAAACTGCAGCAAAAATATTTTCAGTTCAAAGAAGAAATTACAGTCTCAAGAGCTACCTGGGTATTTGGAGTCAGGCTGAAGCGCAACTCTGCCCACAGTTTCTCTTGACCCCTCTCTGCTGCAGGCATAGAGAAGATCTTGCCATGGCCCCTCATCTCTCCCACAGCTCTCCACACACAGCTGCTGTCTCGGTTTCCAGGCTTGGCAACTGCCTGCGAGCTTGGCCTGTTTCTGGGAACTTGAGTTAACAGTAGCTTAAAACTACTAAAATGCTGGAGAAGTTAATAAATGAAAATATTTGTCCCTCTTGTCCACTACCTTTATTATCTCCAGCTTTGACTGCAAGGTACCGGATTACAGTCTATCCCACTTTCCATTAATAACAGCCTCAGAGGCATTCTGTGCTCTGCTTTGTGCAGTTTACAAGATATTTCAGGTTAGCTGTGATCTATTTTGAATCACGTACTCTCCTACTTTTGTACTGTTCCGTGAGAATTAAGTTGATGTAGAAGTAAACTATGCCAGGCACTTCCCCGGGGTCTCAGCAGTGTTACAGGTAACTCTGCGTTGGCTGCAGTCCTTGAGTGAAGATACAAGGATCTATTTTACACAGCTCTTCATTTGCACAGTATTTAGTTTAGGTTTGCACAGGAAAATAATACAGCAGTGAGATCAATAGGTGTTATTTCTATCCATGCAGAGCATTTTCCTTTCACAAAAATTATTGTAATTGACTCTAATAATATTATTTCTAATATTTAGTACACAAACTTTAGCCCATTTTGGCAGACTGATAGTAAGTCTTTTGTGACAGCTGAGTGATGTTTTAACTGTGTCCAAGACAAGTACTAGAGTACTGAAGCTACATAATGAGATACATAGAACTGTATGATAGGCTGATATGGTAAATTACCTAATGACAGTGGCAGTATTTCACACAACAAATCAGATATCCCACCTTCTGTGCCAGGTAATAAATTGTGTTAAGTAGACAAAGGCAAATTTATACATTCATTATCTATCAAGAGACACTTGGCAGAATAACCTTTGGTCTGCAGTCTGAAAATAATTGTTCTCTGACAAGTGTCAGTCGGAAGTGTTAGTGAATCACTATAGATCTTGCTTTGCTGCAAGCACCAGCAAGTCAAACTCTGTTCAGTTACTTGAGAAGCAAGGCCTAAATATAGTTGCTCTGATCCCAGCTGATATTCCTGCTGCTTTTATATTTCTAAAAGCATGTTAGCCCTTGAAACATTTACCAAGATTTCTCGTTTTATCTTATCTTCCCAAGAAAGGCTTCACACTTCCTATGATCAGATACTTAGCCCACAGTTTTGGCTATTTGCCTTTTCACAGCTGCCTGGAAAGGGAGGCAGAAATTGGGAGAGCGGTTTAAAGAAGAAACAGAGAACTCTATGGGGCCAGCACTAATAGAATTCACATATTCAAGAAGCTCTCTTCAAAGTTTGGCATTGAATTATCTGTTAGAGCAAACTAATGAAAGTATCAAAACTTTTTTTTTTTTTAAACCAATAAATTCACCACTGCAGCAAGATTCTGTGCTGAGGATAAATAGATGGTCAGCATCAGGTAGATGGTCAATGCCAGACAGTGACTCCAAAGTGCGAAGGCAGCGGTGGCTGAGCATGACCCCCCCGCAGCTGTGCTGTGGGCAGAGCCATGGCTCACACCCCGGTGTTTCCTCTGCCAGAGAAGACACCGAGCCACAATGCAAGGGGCCAGGGCAGGACCTGCACAGTACCTTTGAGGGCAGGAGGGGTGAAGACGCTCTGCTTCCTCTGCTTGGGAGAGGCACTCTGGGACTGGGGAGGGACAAAAAACAGAGAGAGGCAGTAAGAGATGGGAAGAGGGAGAGCTTTCTGTTCATGGCAGCTCTGGGTCTTGCCCCACAGCTGCTTTCAGAGGGGCACATACCCATCTGAGGAGTTTCTAAGAAAAATATATTGTGTACAGCTGATGCCAGTTCCTGGACTTTCATGTACACAGAGAAAACTAAGATTAGATAGAAAAATATGTATTTAATGGACAATCTTTATGACTCCCAGGCAAGACAGACCCAATACTACTGAAAATTACCCTTCACCCTTAAAAAATATTGTTAAACATAAAATTTGGATAGTCTGTGCTTTTAACAGTCTGTGTAACTGATTCTCATAAGGCAAATAAATGTTTACATACATTAAAATAGTTGCAAGATTCACATTAATCAATATTCCAGTCAAATACAGCATAATCAGTGATTATATGTATAGGTAAGGTAGAACTGAAATTATTAATCTATACATTTTAACATAAATAAGTGGAAAATCTCTCTCCTCCACTTTTGCAATGTGTTCTATTGCACTTAAGAAAATCATTACAGCAGCCAATCATTTGGTCTTTAATTGAGACTGATTTGAGTGTTATATTTAGATACAGTTAAACTTTTTATGGCCCTGAAATTGCATCTATGCACAAAAGATAAAGTATTCCAAAGTAATGGTAGCAAAATTACACATAGAGTAATAGTATAATTATACCAATGTTTAGCTAGCAAAAACTGATGGGAATACAATCAGTGATAAAGCAGAGCAGCTTTTGCAAAATGAAAGCAGCAAAATTGGTGTTCATATTATACCAATATGAAATATGTTGATATACAAAGGGTAATAAAGCTACATAAGATCACACTGATAGCTAGCTTCGGAAGACATAAGCACCATAACACGCCTAACAGAAAGCTTAAGGAAAAGCTGTGTGTAGGCAAGCTTTTTTTTTTCTCATCTAATCAATTTCTATTTATATTTGTATTTATTTATATTTATTTATATTTATATTTGATCATAACAGTGTTGTCTTTTCCCAAATATTTTCTAAAAATGCCTATTATATAGACTGTGAATTTTAATCAGATCTATTTCTTCATGGAACATTTGAGACAGCTCTTAACAGAACCACTTTCATAAAAGTATGGTCAATCCTATTACCTTACCTTATCAGAATGGATGGAATGATAACATTTATAAATAAAATATTATCATCTTTGGAAAGGGAAAGTTATTTATACACGCTATGGGATGGGATAGGTTGTTGATCCTCACCCCAGGAAATCTTTACAAGTCTGTATTTGAGTCCAAATTTGAACCAATCAATACATCCTGCTGCTATTTAAAATGTTGCCTGCTGCTCTGGGCAATGGGTGAAGGAGAAGGAGATGAGAGAATTGCAGGAACTATGCAAGGGGAGATTAGAAAACAAGATCGGAGGAGCCCACTTTTAACTCGTGCAAACAACATTGCTGCACTGCCTGCTGTAGGCTTGGCAAATGATGGAGAGAGTAGGGAGGAGTTTGTAATGCTTTTGTAGACCAGCAGCAACCTGCAGATCCAAAGCAATGCTTGGATGAGTTTAGCTGGCAGGGGCACCTTGGGCCAGGGTTGTTATGCTTTGCCAGGGCATGGCAGCAAGGCAGAGGGGAGGCTTGCCTCTCCCAGTTCCAAGGCACAGGGAGAAGGAGAGCCAGCAGAACTGACACACAACAAAAACAAGGCTGTGTTACTGAGGATGGCATGGCAATGTAAACAAAAATATTAACCAGGATGAATCAGGATGAGTTTCAAAGGGGTTTTAACAATAGACCTATTTTAACAATAAATATGTTTAAAAAAAAATAAAATTCACTTACCTCTGCCTGTGAGATGCTTGTTCTCTTCTCATCTTTTTCTACAGAAAAAGATATGGAAAAAGAAAAGTTAGTACAGAAGTGTTTCTTGGTGCTAACACTTGCAACCCTACAGCACTGCTGTAAATAAGAAATTAACCTTCTGATTTACAGCTTTTCTTTCTCTTTTGTATGTCTCAGAAAACCAGAGGCTCTAATTAGCATTTAGACATAAGAACTTCATCTGAAGCACTTAACTCCTATTTTTTGTCTGTGAATAACAGCAAGCAATGGAGTGCCTTCAGCAGCAGGTCCTTTGTCCAGGCTGGCAGCAGGGCTCTGCGCTTGCAAGTGGGGCTGTCAGGATACAGGATTGCTTTGCCCAGGGACTGCACTTTCTTCTACAGTCACAAAAGGCTTGGTTGCCAAATGGCATGCAGCAAACTCACAAAGGGCTCTATGCACTCAAATCATAATAACCTCACTCAGGTTATTAATATAACAACACTGGCACTGAAGAGCACCTTGAAGTAATATGCAAAATTACAAAACAAAGCTTAACAAAGAGTAAAATTAGAAATTTCATGATGCTACTGGACTGAAATTTTTCCTGGAACTTCTTACTTTTATTGCCTTAGTTTTCTTTGGACTATATGCATGGCAGAATTGGCAAAACTAGAGATTTCTAATAAAATAAGCATCTCTGAGAATCTGTATGAACAACTAAGCAAAATTGTATGAAGCAGGGGAGGCTCAAGGTTCTTACTAACCACGGTATATAACCAGTCTTTGCATGAGCTAAATTCTTTTGCTACTGCTGTCCTGATACAGTTGATGGCCTGACAGTGTCTGTCTTCTGGCAACGATTTCACAAATACTTGATGAATTACGCATAGGATCTTTGATGCACTGTAGTTTGGAGCTCTAAAATAAAATTCCATTAAAAACAGAGACATCAATCTCTCACTATACCAACGTCCCTTCTAAAATTTTCCACTTGAAGATATCAGTGTTTAATTTTCACTGAGGTGTGGCAAATCTGTAAATGTAGGTACGAGGGAAGAATAAGGTCTAGGCTGTATCACTTTATGTGACTTCTCTAGATATTGGCTGCTTGTGGTGTGCTGTGTATGAGGGTACAAGCTAGTGCAGGCAGCTGGATCACATTTTCTGTTGGATTCTTTACCATTGTATCTGTGCATCTTGCAAACATTAATTGACTTACTGGATTTTTCAATGTATGTATTTCCCATTACCTCTTTCTGAAAGGCATTCAAATCACTCATGCTCAAGGTTAAAAAGTGTAGTTGAAAACAGTGCTGATTACTAAAGCATGATCCCACAGATACAGAATTAGACAGGACAATCAGGAGGCCAGTTTCCTGCCATTGACATTTGTGTGAACTTTGGTAAGGTCACTAAACTCCTCCTTGACTTCCTTACCTGTAAATAAGTATAGCAGTGCCTATTTCAGTATAGCAGTGTCTATTCAACTCCATAAAACACTTTGAGGTATGAAGTTAGGCTGGCCAAATGGGTGATTATTTATGTGCTTGTAATCTTTCTTATTGGTTGTACAGCAAACAGACACAGACTTCAATGAGTCAACACTGGACTTTTTTTTTTTTTTAGCTCAGGATCCTGGATTTACTTTGGAGGCTGAAATTTGAATAAATCCGGAACTTTCAGCAGAGAACAATGAAAAGTAAGTTACATCCTATTCCTTCCCAAAACTCCAAATTTGTCCAGATTAAAAATATATTTTGTAAACCCAAGCTGAGGCTTGCATAAGGAACAAAAACTGTAATCAGCAGCTTTGTCAGGTTTCAGGTTTTGATCCTGAGAATGTGCACAATTGTAACCCTCTGGGCTTGCACATTTAATGTTCTAAGTGATGTGACATAAAAACTACCAGAACTGGAAAATTTCCAGCCTTTCCTTTCACCCAGCAGCTCTTATATGACAGGCAACTTTGGAAAAAAGAACCGGTCCTATATGGAGTTAGAGAGATCATGCAGATCCATGGGGTGAATAGTGCCAGTGAAAAGCACCAGACAACATGGACATTTAAGAGTGACTTACAAAATCACATGAACCCCCCCATTTTTCAAATCAGTAAAGAGAGATCAGAAATGAGCCTAAAGGAATGAAAGATACAAAGGTGAGGCAGCAACCATGAAGTGTTTCAAGTAAGATGAAGAGAAATGCAGAGCTGGCTGGAGATGCAGTTTGGTCAGTGGTACATTTTGACATGTATTTATTTTTGAGGACAGAAAGAGCATGACATACTTATTTTTGACAGGCATTATAATGGTCAAGACCCAAAGGAGAGTATAGATTTTTAAGGAGAGGTGACAAGGAATGGGAACAAGGGAAGTCTAGATTCCTGAATGACATAGACTGAGGCAGAGAGAAGAAAATAGACAAAAACTCTTTGTGTAGAGGAGGAGGAAAAGATGGAAGGCAGGGGGGACATGTAAGGAAGATATACTAGCTGTGTGTAACTGAGGTAGCAATGAGAGAAGGAAGAGTGGGGTTGTAGCAGCAGTAAAAGGTGGAATTTAGTCATGACAGAGAGCAGAGCCGGAGTGCAGTGCAGGCTGGAGCTCAGTCAGGAGTTCTCTGCCTGGGGAAAGACTTAGAGCCATCTTGGTCTAACTGAAGGATTACATTAATAATTGTGTGAACATTCTTCCTTACACAAATAATGGTTTTCCAGTGTAACTTATAATGCTTCGAAGGCAGTCTAAATAAACTAATGAAAGCATGTCTCACTAAAAAAGTATCCTTGTGAGAGTCAATGGAAGTAGGAATTAATGTTCTCACTGGCATCAAGAGATAATGTAGACAACCTCTGTGACAACAGATTATATGAGAAAGGAATGTACAAGGTAAGAAAGAACATCATCAGTTACCTACCGCAAATCAGACATTTCCACCCACAGAAACCAAACAAGCCATGCATCTCCCACCCTCAAATTCATCAACAGTTATAAGCTGAATTTCTTTACTGAACTCTTAGAGCATAAATTACTCTTAAGAAGGGTCAGGAAACAATCAGAAAATAAATCACAAATAGCAGACTATGATACCACTTGATTCCAGGGACAGGATGAAATCCCTCGTTTGTCAGCATCCTCTAGTTCCCACCGACTACTATGCAGGCAGGATTCTGTTCACAAAAATCATAGTTATACAGAATGAGAAATTCACTTATCATATTTATAACTAGGCAATTATATCACAGAGAATGTGAATTCAAATGATCAGCTATTTCTCTTTTATATTAAACAAAACCCTAGTTCTCAGTAGATAACTTCTCCCTACAGGTTTGCTCTCTTTTGGGCCCAGAAGGGAAGAAGCTGTTTTAATGATGGTCCATTTTTCTCCCTCACAGAATGTAACATTGTTCACAGCTGTGTTGTATTCCAAATCTCAACCTATGTTCTCTTCCAGGTAAATTTAATCTCATCTGCTCTAATTACCTAACAGGGATCTAATTATTCAAGTAATTTCTAGACAATTTTTGAGTTTTTGTTTCAAAGAGGTGTAATAGAAATCATAGGAAGAGCTGAGAATGGATTTGTACATACCCAAGTACTGGAAAGTGGAGGTATACAAAAACAAGACTGCAGCTTTGTTTAGAGGGGCTTTTACACCTGTGCTGAGATAAAAGCAGACAAGGACTTTCCCTTATGCTGGGTGAATAATGTCTGAGCCTAGTCCGATCCTTACGTCATGCAGACTGGAGTAACACCTGGCAAAATAAACAGGGTTTCAGGCTTTAGTCAGTGTCCTCCGGAAAAAAAAAAGTCAATGAAAGGTTCAGTCTAAAGGACATTTCCTTCAGTCCAGATATGTACACAGAATTTCCGAAACAAAGCCTTGTTTTTTTAAGGAGAGACACTTCTGAAAGCCCATCTACCTGCACAGACCCCCTTTCAGCATTAGACCTGTAAGCTTTAGCCTTTACCCAAGGCAAAAATCTCACCCACTTGCAGGGAAACCTGCAAGATTTGGCCTAACTATATTGCTGAAATAGGTGGAAGAAACACCAGGGAATTTGTATCCCAAACTCTCCTGTTAGTAGGCCTCTTTTGAATCTTTATTAGCACATCCCTCTAGCCAAGCTGATATAATGAGCTGAGCTCCCCAAAGGTGCCATTATATGAAGTCAGAAAAGAACCAAGTGGAAGGAGGTTGGTTACAGACGGGATCACAGCTGCTGGGCAGTGCTGATCACTCTTCCCATGAATCCCCACTGTTGTGCAAAGGGAACGTCCATGCTGGGGAAAGCTTTGTGGTCATTTTAGAATAAGATCAAAATTCATCTGCCTTTCTTCTCCCACTGGATAATGTTAATGCACTTGGAGCAGCTATACAGGGCAAGAGGTGACCTGTCTTAAAAGACTTGGCCTCTGATATCACCCAGGGGCTCTGCAGTGGTCTCATCTCGCAAAGGCTTATCTCGTCCAACTAAGTACCCTGCTTGCTTTCCCCTTTTCTGTAGGGTATCAGTCAGGCACTGGAGAAATAGAACAGATCAGAGAGGCCAGCTTTTACACAAAAGCAACTCAGTAAGAGGCTGGTATAATTGTTGGAGAAAGCTTCTTGTAGAGAGTTTGGAATTTTCCTTGGGAAAACACAGTTGAGCAGTTTCAGATCAAAATCATAGGAGGCTGATAGATTTGGTTAATTTTTGTCATAGTATCTACATTTTCCTTATAACTAATAACCATAATAGTCTTTAATTACTCAGATAGTGGGAATAGCCCATGAGCTGCATGCCCATAACAGGTGTTAGTTAAAGAATGATTTAAACGAGAATGGTTTCAATCTGAAAGAAATGAGCCTGGTGAGAGACTTTCGGGGACACAATGTTTAGTCTGGAGTCACTTTATAATCCTGCCCTTGCCCCTGTATATACAGTGTCACTGGAGGCAGCAAAGTAGATGAACAGAAGCATGGATCCAGCCTTTCACTGCAAACTAGTGCAGGGCACCCCAGGCTAGTGACAAATCAGATACTGCTGCTGCTATGAAATAGTTTAGCCAGTTTCATT